GAGGAAGAGCGAGGAAGAGCGAGGAAGAGCGAGGAAGAGCGAGGAAGAGCGAGGAAGAGCGAGGAACATGATGGTCAGAGCGACGTAGAGAGAGAGAGAGACCACGGGAGGATGGCGGAAGGAGGCCCGAAGGGAGGGACAAGGGAAGCGGGAAGAACACAGGACGCACTTGACATTGCGCCGAATGAGGTCCAGCAGGTTGCCGCGCTCCATCAGCTCCGACACCAGGTAGATGTGGCGATCATCGGCGCCAGCCCCCATGTATAGCAGGAGATTCGGATGGCGCAGCGACAGGACGGTGGACAGCTCGGTGGACAGCTCCAGCAGGGCATGGTGCGCGGCGCGGGTGCCGAGCGCGGCACCGGCCCGACGACGCATGGTCGGATGCGAGGCCGAGTCCGGGAAGGAGGAGCTCGGGCTGCTGGACACCGAGTGGGCGATGCTGGAGAAGGGCGCGCCGGAGCGGATGCGCCGGAGCTCCAGGCGCTTGGCCGCGATCGGCATATTGCGCCAGGTCCCGCGGAAGACCTCGCCCTCGGAGCAGTAGGCAATGCGCGACGTGCGCGAGGGGGCCGCCGACGCGGTCGAGGGCAGGTCCAGCAAGTTGCCCGACGACTGGCTCATGAGGACACTGCTGGAGGGCTGGTCGAATTCGATCTCCCCCGGGGGGATGTGCCACCGGTGGCTCTCCATGTACGAGCCGAAGACCGACATCTCGCTGTCGTCGCCGCCGCCGCCGCCGCCGCCGCTGCCGCCACTGAGGGCCCCGCCACTGGAGCTGGGGGTGCTGCTGACGCCGCTGACGCCGCCGCCGCTGAGGACCGCGTCGGCCCGGTTGTCGAAGACCCGCTCGCGCAGGGCATCCGACACCACGTGCATGCACTCGAAGAATTCCTTGTGCAGCTTCACCTCGCCGGCGTACTCCAACTTGGGGGTGATATCGGCGAAGGGCCACTCCGAGGCATCGAGGACCTCCTGGAATTGGCGCGACGCCTCGCGCGACAGGAGAATCTGCCCGCCCTTGGCCGTGGAGGACAGCATGTACACATGGTTGAGGGTGGGCCCGGTGTATGTGACCCGGTGGGTGATCGGGTGCGAGCCGAGGGTCGGCTTGCCGATGTGGATGGCCATGCGGGTGCGGAACCCGGCGAAGAGCACCCGGCCATTGGGGCCCGGGGCCACCACGCGCGGGCAGAGGTCCTCGATTTCCGCCGGCCACTGATGCTCCAGCAGCATGTGCTGCAGCTTCAGGCCGAAGTACACGGCCTTCGACACGTCGCGGAAGGCGGCCACGCAAATGCGCCCGTCGATGGACACCTCGAAGCCGCCGGACCCGCGCAGGAGCTGCCGCAGGAGCAGATGATACCCGCGCATGGCGCTGGCCATGGCCGTGGGGCTGCAATTCCACATGTGCGTCCAGCGCTCGACATCCGTGTGGGTGAAGACCACCCGGTCGCCATCCGGCGGGGCGATCTCCGGGGAAATGCTGTCCAGCAGGGCCGACAAGTCCACATGGCCATCGTCAAAGCGATTGAGCGCGCGGAACTCCCCCAGCCGGTTGATGAAGTCGCTGAGATGCGGCGAGGCCAGGTTCTCGAACATCGGCAGCAGGTCCTTGAAGGGGGTGCGCTCCTCCGGGTCCTTGGACCAGCAGGTGGTGATGGTGCTGGCCAGGTGCTCGGGGAAGGCTTCCGGGATGGGTGGCCGCATGTCCTCCATCAGGACCCGGTAGCCGACCGACATCGGGTGCTGGTCGGGGTACAGCTGCTCGCGCGTCATCACCTCCCAGCAGATGATGGCGAAGGAGTAGACATCGCAAGCCTCGGTGTAAGGGTGCTGCTGGAGGACCTCGGGTGCGGTCCAGAAGAGCTGTGCCGGGGAGAGAGCGGGGGGGGGG